ATGCTTTGATTGGGAGTTCCTGCATGGCAGGGGTTGGACTGGATAGCCTTTGGGGTGTCTTCCAACTCTTCTATGATTCTATGATTCTATGATTCTACAGAGTGATACATAGAGCCAGGATGGCATAGTGATTTGAGGGTTGGACTACGACTCTGGAGACCAGGATTTGGTTTCCGCTCAGCCATGAAACCCACTGGGTGACCTTGGGCAAGCCACACTCTCTCAGCCTCAGAGGAAAGCAATGGCAAACCCCCTCTGATCAAATCCTGCCAAGAAAACCCCATGATAGGGTCCGCCTTAGAGTCGCCATAACTCAGAAATGACTTGAAGGCACACAATCCACACACACACACACACCACAGAGAGAACCTGGCACCTTTTGAACACAAGGCATGGCTCTATTCCTTTCCTCAGGATGGTCCCTCTCTTTCCCCAAAAATGAAACCAGGGAACTGTCTTACCCAAACAAAAATAATTCTGCTAGAATGATCCAGTAATGCCCAAACTTTGCTCCTCCAGATGTTTTGGACTTCATTCCCCAGAACTCTTGACTGTTGGCCAAGCTTGCTAAGGCTTCTGGGAGCTGAAGTCCCAAATACTCAAAGGACTAAAGTTTGGGAACCATTGTGCTAGACCAACAATGCCTGTCCAAGTTTGCAATGCATATAGTGAGAAAGATCACTTGCAGACAGATTGAGCCTTATTTCAAACTACAATCCCCAGGATTCTCCACTGACCATGCTGGCTTGGGGAGTTGGGGATTTGTAGTCCAAAATTGCATCTCCAAGCTGTGGGATGCCAAATTCATCCTAAACAGTCTTTGGGGGGAATCATTACAATTGTAATGACAACTCTGAAGACCAGGGTTCAGTTCCCAGCTTGGCCATGAAACCCACCCAGTGGGTGACCTTGGGCAAGTCACACACTCTCAGCCTCAGGGAAAGGCAAAAGCAAACCTCCTGTGAACAAATCTTGCCAAGAAAAACCCACAATAGGTTGCCCTAAGTTGGAATTGACTTGAAGGCACATAGCACACACTGCTCTCCCCTCTGCTGGGTTCAGTTTGGTGTTCAGTTTGCAGCAATTGAAACAAGCTGAGGACAAAGGGGGAAAGTGGAAGAAGAGAGAGAAAGTGGGACCTTTTAAAAGTGGGATGGCAGAGGATTAATTGGGACTGTCTCTGGCAAATCAGGGCAGTTGGATAGTAGGATTTCCATGTTAGGAAAAATTTTATCTGCTATTTGTCAATGTGTCAGGCTCTTGTTGCAGGTATACAGCCAAAAAAGAAGAAGGAAGGGAAAAAACCAACCCTGCCCAGCCTCTTAGTAACAGAACACATACAGCATGCAACAAGTTACAAAACTAATTCACGATTAATTCACAATTAATTAAGAATATTTACAAATGTTTAAAAGCCAGCATGGCATAGTGGTTTGAGTGTCGGACTACAACTCTTGAGGCCAGGATTCGATTCCCGGCTCAGCCATCAAACCGACTGGGTGGCCTTGAGCAAGTCACATGCTCTCAGCCTCAGGGGAAGGCAATGGCAAACTTCCTGCGAACAAATCTGCCAATAGTTTCACCTTATGGTTGCCATAAGTTGGAAACGACTTGAAGGCACTCAACAATCGTGTATTCTATTATTTTAGCCTTGTGTTGTTGTTTTTTTACTGAAGTGTCATTTAATTTTTGTGACTTTTGTATCTACAATATTTTAAACTGTACTCTGTTTTGCAAATGTTTGTAAGAAACAATGGATCCTGTTTAAGACGTACGGTATGTGCCTGTGTGTTGCGTTTCTGACTTATGGTGACCCTAAGGCAATCCTATCATAGAGGTTTTCCTGGAAAGTTTCTTCAGAGCGGGTTTGGCATTGCCATCCTCTGAGGCTGAGAGTGTGTGACTTGCCCAAGATCACCCAGTGGGTTTACATGGCCAAGCCAGGACTCGAACCCTGGTCTCCAGAGTCACAGTCCGATGCTCAAACCATTACACCACGGGTCACCATAAAATGGAAATTAGGTACAGAACAATTATTTGTTATATTATTTTAACCTTGTACTTTTTAGCTGTGCTATAATTTTATTTTTTTAACTATTGTATGTGTAATATT